TCTACTACCCTGTGTCTCTTAATTGGTGAGTTTAAGCCATTAACATTTAGGGTTATTATTGAGATATGGGTTGTTCTTCCAGCCATATTTGTTTATTTCTGTTACTAAACATGGTTTGTTTTCCTCTTTGATTATTCCCCCCCCTTTACTGTCCTACCTCCCACTGTTGGTTTTCGTTGTTATTTTCCATTTCCTCTTCCTGTAATGTTTTGCCGAGGATGTTTTGAAGAGATGGTTTTCTAGCTGCAAATTCTTTTAACTTTTGTTTATCGTGGAAGGTTTTAATTTCATCTTCCATCCTGAAGCTTAATTTCGCTGGATACACAATTCTTGGTTGGAACCCATTTTCTTTCAGTGTTTGAAATATGTTATTCCAGGATCTTCTAGCTTTCAGAGTCTGTGTTGAAAGATCAGCTGTTATCCTGATTGGCTTACCCCTAAATGTAATCTGCTTCCTTTCTCTTGTAGCTTTTAAAATTCTCTCCTTATTCTGTATGTTGGGCATCTTCATTATAATGTGTCTAGGTGTGGATCTCTTATGATTTTGCACATTCAGCGTCCTGTAGGCTTCTAGGATTTGGGATTCTGTCTCATTCTTCAATTCTGGGAAGGTTTCTCGTATTATTTCATTGAATAGATTGCTCATTCCTTTGGTTTGGAGTTCTGTACCTTCCTGTATCCCAATGACTCTTAAGTTTGGTCTCTTAATGTTATCCCATATTTCTTGGATGTTCTGCTCATGGTTTCTTAACAGTCTTGCTGAGCTGTCTATGTTCTTTTCAAGTTGAAATACTTTGTCTTCATTGTCTGATGTTCTATCTTCTAAGTGTTCTACTCTGCTGGTAGTATTCTCAATTGAGTTTTTAAGTTGATTTATTGCTTCCTGCATTCTAGGATATCTGTTTGTTTGTGTTTTATAACCTCTATCTCCCTGTATAGTTGATCCTTTGCTTCCTGGATTTGTTTGTGTAATTCATTGTCGAAGTTATCTTTCATTGTCTGATTTTGCTGTCTAATGTCTTCCTTGATACTCCAGATCATCTGAAGCATGTATATCCTGAATTCTTTATCTGACATTCCATCTGCTGCAGCTGTTACCTCTTCTAAAGTTGAGTTGACCTGCATTGCTTGTGGTCCGTTCTTTCCTTGTCTTTTCATACTGCTTGCGTTTCTTTCTGCTTGGTGAAACTGTTGTGTTTTTGAAATGTTTTTCCCCCTATATATTTATATTGCTCTTGTATAGTTGAAAACTCTCCATTGCAGGGTCGGGCGGCGTTCTGCCTACCTTGCAGGTGCGGGCGGCGGCTCTGCTCTCTCCTTACTCCAATTGGTGTGTCGTGACTACCACGCCGGCAGGTCACTGGGCCTGTTCCGGGCGCGGGCGGCGGCTCTGTTCTGCCCCTACTCCAATTGGGGTCACGAGTGTACCATGCCGGCAGGCCACTGGGCCTGATCCGCCAGTCGGTTGCAGGTCTGCCTACCCTGCAGGCGTGGGCGGCGGCTCTGCTCTGCCCCTACTCTAAATGGGGTGACATGTCTGTCGCACCGGCAGGCCACTGGGCCTGTCCCGCTGTTCGGCCGCAGGTCTGCCCACCTTTCAGGCACGGGTGGCGGCTCTGCTCTGCCCCTACTCCAATTGGAGTGTCGTGACTACCACGCCGGCAGGCTCCTGGGCCTGATCCGCTGGTCTGTTGCAGGTCTGCCTACCTTGCAGGCGTGATGGCGGCTCTGCCCTGCCCCTCCTACCACGCCTGCAGACCGCTGGGCCTGATCTGCAGGTTGGTCACAAGTCTGCTCACCCTGCGGGCACGGGTGGCGGTTCCGCTCCGCCCCCACTCCAATTGGGGTCACATGACCACCACACCGGCGCGGCCTGATCCGGGCGCGGTCGAAGGCTCTGCTCTGCCCCTACTCCAGTTGGGGTGACATGTGTACCATGCTGGCAGGCCGCTGGGCCTGACCCGCCAGTCTGTTGCAGGTCTGCTTACCTTGCAGGTGCGGCCTGCGGCTCTGCCCTGCCCCTCCTACCACGCCCGTGTACCACTGGGTCGCGGGTCTGCCCACTTTGCAGGCGCGGGTGGCGGCTCCGCTCCGCCCCCTCTCCAATTGGGGTCACGCGATCACCACGCCGGCAAGCCGCTGGGCCTGCTCCGGGCGCGGGCGGCGGCCCAGCTCCTCCCCTCTGGCTCCGACAACAAATCGAGAGAGACTCGGGTGTCTGTGCCTCACCCTCCCTACCAGGAGACCAACTGTTTCTGTCGCCGCTGGTATTGATGAAGTTCTCTCCTCCGCCGCTTTCTGATGACATCATATCTCTGCCATGGTGGTATCCTATGCGAATGGCAGCATTTCGTTCCCTTTTGCCGGGTAACCAAAGCAATGGGTGAGTCCTGACCGGCCCTCAGCAGGACCCGGACCGAGAAGCAGTTTCCGCGGGCTCCTTAGCCCTGGGCCAGGGCAGTTCTGGGAGCTGGAACTCGGCCGCTCCGTGCTCAGTGTATGCTCTGATAAGAGCAGGCTCCAAGAAGCAGTTTCCAAGGGCTCCTTAGCCCTGGGCCAGGGCAGTACTGGGAGCCGGAACTCGGCCACTCCGTGCTCTGTGTATGCTCTGATAAGAGCAGGCTCCAAGAAGCACTCAGGCACTGAGCCTGAGTAATCTGTCTGCAAGCCGCAGGCGAATGGCAGCCTGAAATTACCTGTTCTATGGCTGAATGAGCTGCGGTCAGTCGAAAACAGGGATGGTGATGTCAGCTCTCCAAGATGGTGGCTGCTGGCCTCCTCTGTGGTCTGACCGGTGTGGAGAACCGAAATGGACCGCTTCCTTCCCCCGTCTCGAACCCAGAATTCAGCACTGAGTACGGTGCTTGCACGGCTGGCAGAAACTGCAGCGCTGTATCCCTGCGCCGCTATCTCGTTTCCCAGCACGCGCTGCAGACTCTAGCCGCGGGGCGATTTGCTGAATAAGCAGTGTTACCCTCCATGCGACAAATCTCTCACGTTTGAGTCCCCGTAGCCGATCCTTGTCAGATGGAAATCCTTCCTCCAGGTTCCGGAGCACCCCACTATTGCTGGAAATTCCTAACAAGATAGCCTTTAGCCGTCCTGACTCGTCATACTCCCACACAGTGACGCAGCACACGGGGGCAATGCACTCCCCTCGCCGCCATCTTCCTCCTCCAATAAGGATATCTTGTAACACAATTATTAATTCATACTTTACTAAAATCATTATTATTGTCTTTTACCATACTAATTAATAGCATTATCAAAGATGATTCATGAATATATTATAGACTGAAAGAGCTAAATATAATACATATGCAGTTAATTTACCCACTATTATAAATTTAATGTTTAGGATATTAAAAAAAATTCATAATGATATTTTAAATTGATTTCCTTACCCATTTTGATAAGGAAACTCATTATTTCTTTATAATTTTCATTTTTTAATCTCTCCTTTGTATTCTATTATTTCTAAACTTAAGTATTTTTCCTCTGTAATATGGGAATGTTCTTCATCATAATATAGAGAATCACATATGTTTACATTTTGTTAATTGAAATCCAATGCTTTCAGTGATGTTGGTTAATGAGATTACCTCATAAATTACGAAATAAAAACAATAACATTAACCTATAGTTAAATAAAATAGTGTAATACTACCTTATTCTCAATTAGTATATATGCACTAATGTACCAAAGTTAGCAGTTTAGAATTAAGTAAATAGATAACTTTTCTGAGTGTTATGGTTTAGGTGTTAGGTGTCTCCCAAAAGCTCGTGTATGAGAAAATATAAGATTTAGGGTAAAAAGACTGGGTTATGAAAGCCTTGATCCAATCAGTGAATTAATCCCCTGATAGGGATTAACTTGGTGGTAACTGAAGGAGGTAAGGTAACTAGAGGAGATAGGCCACTGGGGTGTGCCTTTGGGATATATATTTTGTCCCTGCAAAGCAAGAGCTCTCTCTGTTTCCTGATCACCATGTTCTAAGCTGCTTTCCTCTGCCACACCCTTCCACCATGGCAATATGCCCCGAATCAGGCCCAGAGAACAAGGGCCAGTTATCTATGAGCTGAGACCACTGAAACCATGATTGCCAAATAAACTTTTCTTCTAAATTGTTCTTGTCAGGTCTTTTGTTCAAAGCAACAAAAAAGCTGACTAAAGAACTGAGTAAAACATCCATTTGCTCTAACAGGTGAAATTCTCAAAACCAGGATTCTTCCATGTCCCTTGGTTATCTCCCATTCATCACACAGCCTCCCATATGGTATGTATTTAATAAATTTCTGATGAGAGGAAAGAATAAAGAAACTGCATACATATTTTATGCCTTTGTTTCTATGACCAAGCCTCCAATATCTGAATGGTATTAAAAAGTAGAAATATTTTTGAGGGGCTGGGGATGTGACTCAAGCATGCGCGGGACGCTGGGTTCGATCCTCAACACCACATAAATATAAAATAAATATATTGTGTCCACCTAAAAATAAATATTTTTTTAAAAAGTAAAAATATTTTTTGGAAAAAAGAACACTATTGAAAAGGATGAGAAAATGGCAGGTATACGAATCCACTACTCCTTTACCTTTATCAGTTAAAAGAAGCTAAACTAAGGCAACCTCTCCTTTGAGTATTTATAATTTTAATTTACCTTATACCTTTTCTTGTTATTCAATCTAAATCCAAACATCATTCTGGTATCAGTTTAATTCTAATAAGCCCTATACTGACCAAACTAAATATTTACTTTCTCTCATCCTACCTAGAACAAATAAAACTAATAAAAATTGGGATTATGCGTTGAATATAAAATATTTGATTCCAAAATAAAGCACTTAAATATTATAATGTATTTATGTGGATTAAATATAGATAACTATTTACTTACAATATCCTAAAAGATACATAAAATGAAAATCTTAATTATTAAAATTAAGTGTTGAGCAACTGGTTCCATTAATCTGTAAGACTACATACACTGAAGGATTTTGCCACTAAAAAACAACTAGAACATAAGTAAAACAGGTTGACTTTATTGTATTGTTACACTCAACAGAAAAAAAAAAAAAACAGAAACAAAGGAAAACAGCTGAACATGAACTATAAACATTAAACACAAGCAAAAAAAATGTGTTGTTATGATGATAAGTACAAAACTCAGAAATGTAATCTGGAGAGTAAACTTTAAGTCACCCATAATGTAGGGAAGCATACTGATATAAATGTTGAAAGAAATAAAATGCATACACAAAGTGATGTGTAAGCAAAAAAGAGCTATCAACAAGTATCAACATTTTAAAAAATAAATGCAGCCTTTAAAAATTAAGATATATAGATTCATATATAAAAACACAAAAGATGGATTCAAAAAGAGTCAACATACAGAGAGAATAAGAAAAGCACAGAAATATTTTAAAAAGAAGCACAAGCAATTACATGAAAAAATTGAAAGAGCCTAAGAAATGCAAAAAAGAATAAAACAGAATAATATACACTAATTGCAACCCAAAAATGAATGAATTTTTTACATGTAGGAAGGCAATATGTTCTGCAATAATGAGTAGGAGTTTTGAGAAATAATAAAAGACATGCTACCTAAACAGGAATCATATTTCAAAATTACTTATGTTAATATAGTTGCTGGATAAAAAAGACAAACATGAGCTATTGAAACAGAAAAATAAATTTCACATAAATCATAAATTACCTTTATAATTTTGTTATGTTGAAAGACAGAACCAATTATCAGACAAAAAATATGTAAATAAGTAAAGTTTTGATCTGGGTTAGAGTGTTTGAACTTTTTATTATTCAATTAATTCTAATTGGTATAAAACAAAAAGCATTCATCTAGCTTAAGCATTTGTAGAGGTCAGCTAATAGGGACTGGACTCAGTCATTGATGCTCCTATCTTTCATCAGGATACAGGCAAACTGACTCACACTGTTTTCTATGGCAAAAGCAAAAGAAAGCAAACCTAAATATGCAAGCATATATCAAGGTTCCATTATGTCTGGTTTTTAAAATTATCAATGGCCTTAAATAAGTGACATGGCCAAGCTCTGCATCAATGATCAGAGAAGTAAAGTACTATCTTTCTTTGAAAGTAAAGAGTAAGTTCTTCTAAAACAATTCCACAGGTACACACCAATTAAGTGCATGCTCTTTTGGCATAATTTAGCTTCACAGTCATATCTATGCGTAAAAACAAAGATGAGAAATATAAGCATCTAATTATGCCCAATTATATGATGAAAACTATAGGAATAAAGGAAATATATCTTAGTAAAAAATTAGCAATCTCTACCACAGTAATTCCAAAGAAATTTCAAGGATTGGTTTCATATAGACAATGTATTCTGACCATGATTTATTCCAACTACAAATATACAATAACCACACACAAAAATAAGAAAATTCAAAGCCTATGCATATGTACATTTGAAAATATCTTTAAACAAAACATGGAATGAAGACCAAATCATAATAAAGTACTTAAAAATGAACAAAAATGTAAATGCTATATATAAACAACTGTGTGATACATTTAAAACAGTATTTAGGAGAAAAACTGTTCTATTAAATATTTAGAAAGGCCAAAAATTAATTAACTATGCAGTTAGTCAACATAAAAAGCTGGAACAAGAAAGAACACAAAGAATGTAAACAGAAGGAAATCACAATAATGAAAACACAAAGAAAGAAAAAACTTAGTAACAAATCATAAAACTCAAAATGTCAGATCTTCCCACATGCCAATAAATTTCATAACTCTCCAAGAAGACTATTGAGAAATGAGGAGGGAAGGAAGACAAAAAAAGAAAATCAACAAATAAAAACAATACAATTATATGTCTATTGGAAATCTAAAAGATGATAAAAATTGGACATATACCTTTAAACTCTTAATTTGAATACTCAAAACTGTTCATATTCCTTACAGATTACAAAAATTGATTTGAGAAGAAATAAGCTCTATAGTTCTATTAGAAAGAAAGCAGAATCCATAATGCAAAATATTACTGCAAGTACATAATAATTTCAATTAGTTATACAGAAGATTTCTACTGTATGTGTTAGGAACAGATCTTCAACAGTATAATAACACTTCAAAAGAAAGAAAGAGGGAATATTTCCACTTTATTCAATTTACCACAATTATAAAAAGACAGTGACTATAGGGAAACTAAAGACCAATTCCATTCATAAACAGAAACATCTTAATAAAAAATAGTCAACTAGATTCAGTGGTATATAAATCAAACAACACACAAGAAATAAGTTAGTTTTATCCTAGGACTTATAGGTAATGTTTAAATTAGAAAATACATAATGTCATTTACCATATCAAAATATTAATGGAGATTGGGGTCAAAGTTGTGGCTCAGTGGAAGAGGGCTTGCCTAGCACGCGTGATTTTGCTGAACTCTATATTTCTATAGTTTATGTATAGTTTTTTTTAAGGATTTTCCTCTTAAGTAATGTTATCATTTGTGAAAAACGGTAGCTGTGATTTTTCCTTTTCTAGTCCTAGAAAAATTTATTTGTGTTTCTTCTCATTGTATCTTGTCTAGAACCTCCTGAAAGCAGTTAAGCAGAAGTGGTTAGAGTAGGCATTCATATCCTGTTTAAAAATTTTAAGGGGATGCTTTGGATGATTCAACATAAGGAATATTTGTTGTTCTGGGTAGGTAGGTATTCTTTATTAAGGTTCAAAACGTACCCTTCCCACTACATTTGCTAAGTTTTTGTTTTATCATAAGTGTGTTAGTTCTTTTTATCATAAAATAATGATACATTTTTATCATAATTAAATATTAAGATTTTCTTTTATCATGATTATTAATTTTTTTCTTAGATAATTTTCTCCATTTTTTAAATTTTTTTTTATTTTTTTAGTGTAGATGAATACAATACCTTTATTTTATTTGTTTTTATTTTTATATGGTGCTGGGGATCAAGCCCAGCGCCTCACGCGTGCTAGGCTCTGTTCATATTACCTTATAGATTACAAAAATTGATTTGAGAAGAAATAAGCTCTATAGTTCTATTAGAAAGAAAGAGCTTCAAAACAAGGGCATATCTAGGCTGTTCTACAAACACATGGGAAGCTAGTGGGCTGCAAATGAATAGAAAGTGGAGAAAAGCAAGAGATAAGGGCCGAGAGTTAAAAGGGGCCAGACCCACATAGTCTCAGAAGTTATAACAACTTCACCTGTAACTTTAAGTAAGATAGGAAGCCACTGGAAATTTTTCAGCAGTGTCATGGATAACATGTTTTAAGATCATTCTGGCTGCTGTGTTTAAAAGACACGAAAGGAAAACAAAGACAGAAGTAGAGAGTAGTTAGAAGGATTGGAATAATCCAAGATAGATATGAGGACAGAACAAAGAAACAACAACAATGCTAGATGTAAGAAAAGATGAAAGTATAGACTTTTTTCAAAGATATAACCAAAATCATTTCTTTCATATTGAATGGGAGGTATGAGAGAAAGAGAGAAATGACTCAAGGATGACTCTAGAGATTTTCTGGACAAAAAACAAAATGAAAGGATAGAATTTCTATTATTTAAGACTGAAAAAAAAATCACAGGAGAAATAATTATAGTAGGAAATTGATATCTAGTTACACGCACCAAGTAGGCAACCCATTATATAAAAATGTAATTCGGAGAAGAGATCTCAGTAAATGATAGAAATGAAGGAGTCATTAACATATAGGTAGTAAAAGTCATGTTATACCTTAATAGTGATAAAACAGAGAAAATATATGTTCATGATAGAAGAAGGGAGAGGAAATGATAGCAGCAATGAGAAGCAGAGATCATTTATCTGACCTCTGTCTAGGTCCAATAACATGATTGAGTATATAGTAGAACAATTTGCTCTGGTGGTGTTGTAAGACTTCATGTACTAGAGCTGGCTCATACTGACCCAAGAACTCTGACTGTGAATATCAATTCCCAATTCTCATTCATTCAAATAAAATTATAGCTTGAACATCTACAGTCTGAGTATTTATAGCACAGAAACTGGAAGACATTACAAATCCAGGCTTTTTTCTTCTTCTTTTTTTCAAAGAGCTGATCATTAAACATTTACTAGAACCCCACTGGCTACAGGAAAAACAGGTTACCTAATTTAGAGAAAGCTAAATTTCCATTAGCACAAAAGGAAAGGGAACATTTCACTGCTCACCAACTTTGAGTTCCAATGAGTATAGAGAAAGGGTCTGGGAAGTCAGAAAAGAGGAAAGAGAGATTGGGTCAGAAAAAGTGATACAAGGTATCTTAGGGAAGATGAGAGTTCTGAAAATAAAGGATGAACTGGGAATATTGAGCTTCTTATGAATACTAAGAAGAACATGGATAAAAGTGTAGATGTTGATGAAAGATGCATTGGAGGACGACAAGCCAAGAAGACTGTTGCTCAGAACTTCCCACTTGGCTCCCGCTGACAGAGGCAAGATGTCCTGTAGGTGGGTGGTCTTATTCTGAATGTTGGTGCACTCTGTTGTCTCTTGCCAATGATGTTCTGCAGAGGTGTAGTCTTATTCCAAGTTTGAGTATTCCCTCTCCACTCCTTCTGATGAAGAACTGGAGTTGGACAGAGGGTTGATCTTGCACTGAGCTCAAAAGCTCCCTCTTGAGTTCTGTTGAAGGAGGCCTCAAAGCCAAGAGAGGAACAGGTTATTTTATTTTAAGATAACATTTACAATAACAAAGTTATAAGACCTTAGAATTACATTTAATATGAACACTATAAGGTCTGTATAGAGAAAATTATAAAAATGTTAATGAAAGACATCTACAGAGAGTCAAGATACACAGGGCAATAAACCATGCTCATTCATTTATTCATGGAAAGATGCAATATCATAAAGATGCTGGAATCTTCACATTAATTTATAAAGTCAAAGACATTCCAACAAAAATCACAAGAAAAATAATATTTAAGGAATTTGGAAAGCCTATTTTAAAATTTATAAAGAAAAAATATAAAAGAATAGTTAAAATGCTTCTAAAAATAAATATAAGGTTGAGGGAATTGACTTAAATAAAATACATTCAAACTTATTAAAAACTGTAATCATTAAAAAGTGTACTACCGCAGGAGGAGTGAATAAACTCAACAATGAGAAGTCCAGAAGCAAATTCATGTATACATGGGAACTAAATAAATGATGGAGCTGGTTCTTCACTAGGGAGAAGAACCATATAATAAACTATGCTAGGACAAGCAATTATCTGAATGAAAAAAAAGTAAAACTGGATTCCTACTATATTCCACATTTACAAATTAATTTCAAGGTAATTAAATATTTAAAATAGAAAAGCAAATGATCTGTCCAGAAAAGATGGTGTAGAATCATCTCTCCACCTGCTCTTCCCTACTAAGTATAACTATAAACCCTAGCAATGATGTAAGAGACAATGTAAGGGGAACTCTGACAAGTTGAAACAGGTAGGATAACTGGTGATGCATAACAGGACTGAAGAAATAGTATAATGATAAGACATGTTACCATTTCCTACCCAACAGACAAAAAAGGTGATTCAGGCTTTATCCCCAACCCACCAACAAAAGGTAATGTTTTCTGTTCATAGTGGAAATCAAACTAGGAATCAATCAGGAAAATCTCTAAATAATTAGAAGCTGAACACACTTTATTAAAATCATCTATGAGGGTCACAGAGAGTAAAAAGAGGAAGACTAAAAAGGAAATGAAAATAAAACTATGTAAAACTAAATGAAAACCAAAATACAACATATTAAAATATGTTGAACAAACTTTTAACCCACAAAACAGTTTGGATGAATTGCAGATGAAGTATGCAGAGGATACAAGTCAAGTCCAAAAAGTCAAAAAGTGTATTATTACATTTAAATATCAATCTTGAAATGAAAAAAAATATAGACAGAGAACAGATTAGTGGTGGCCTAGGGTTAGGAATTGGGGGATAGGAGATAGAGAAAGGTAATAAGGGCTATAAATGGGCAATACCAGAATCCTTATGATTCTATATTTTCATTTTATCCATGTCAACATCATGGTTATAATAGTGTACTACATTTTGCAAGACATTATTGTTGGTGAAATATAGAAAAAGGGTACAGAGGATCTCACTGATTTATATTTTACAAGTGTATGTGAATCTAAAACTATATACAGATAAAAAGGTTAAGTGTTCTAAAAAATATAGGCACAGTGGAATATAAAATTTAAATAAAATCTGTAAATTAAATAAAAGCAATGTTATCAATGTTAACCTCTTAATTTAAATAATTATATTGTGCTTTTGTAAACAAAGTCTGTTTTTAGAAATTATAGATTGAAAAAAATTCCTTAAGCAAGTAACAACAAATGTTAACATAAAAAGATGCACTGATAAAGTTGATTACATTAAAATTAAGAATTTACGATCATTAAAAAATCATAAATTGAAAATATGTCACTATCTGGAACAAGATACTCTGCATTCATAAAATTGATTAAAACATTTTTATCAAGAAATGTATCTTTTGAAAGATACTTTTTTTTAAAATTTTTTTAGTTGTATTTGGACACAATACCTTTATTTTACTTATTTTTATGCAGTGCTGAAGATGGAATCCAGTGCCTCGCACATGCTAGGTGAACCCTCTACCACTGAGCCACAGCCTGGGCCCACCCCCAGAAAGATACATTTTAAATGATACATTTCAAAAATGTATCTCTTGAAATTAATGAAGAAATATATATTTGTATGTCAAACATATTTCAAATATTTTTAAAGACCAACAATCTAACAGAAAAATGGGCAAAAGTTATGAAGTATTATTTCACAGAAGCTAATACACGAATTGCCTATAATAAAAAAATCACATGTCACAATTAGTAGTCAGAAAAACGAAAATTAAGATCTAATAGGGTAATGCTTTAATCATTAGATTGGCAAAAAATCAAGAACCCTGGTAAATATCAATTGTTGGCAAGATTGCAAAGTAATAAGGAATTCTGGGGAAGGTCTGTAAATATGACCAATTGGTTTGAAAAGAATATGACATGATCTAGTAAAATCTCAATCCCCATTCCTAGATTTAATGCCCTACAGAAAAACTTCCATAGATTCCCAGGGAGATGTATAGAATAATATCCATGATATCACTGTCTAATAAACCAAGACTTTGGAAGCAATCTGAACATTCTTTAACAACAGACATAGAAATAAATGCTATAAATTGTACTATAGCCACATATTGCAATGTGGAAGAACCTTAAAAACAAAACACTAAGTCAAAAAGCAAGTAACAGAAAATTACATACACTGCATTTCATGTCATCTATTTTGTCATATATGTATTTCATTTATACATTATATTCGAATACACATATCTCAATCATTAATTAAATATATTTATTTTAAACTGTGGTAATATAAATTGTATTTTAAAATATGGATACTATATTGATTGAAGTTTTCAAAATGTTGTAAATCCTAAGCATATTTTTTCACTACAGATACATTTCCATATTTTCTAAATTATTTGTGGTTTTACATATAATTCAAAATAAATGGTAGAGTTTAAGACCTAAGAATAATCAGCATCTCTTTTGTTCTGATTCACATTTACTTCTTTTTATTTAGTGTAATAATGTAAGTATATTTTTTAATTTTCTACTCAAAACAGACACATTGATTTAATTTTTATCTATTTAACATGGCACAATACTTTGAATAAATACATTGTTAATATATTTCCTGAGGGATTTTTAAGTAAATTACTTCAACTGTTGAAGACATCACCAATGTTTTCAAATTATTATTAAAATTCCCTTGGCACACAATGATAGGTTTCTTCACACCTTCTACATTATAAAACCCTGAAAAAATGCAAAACTATTTTCTTATCAACTACATATATGAAAATTAGAATGGTTAACATTCTGATGCAATATTTTAAATTACTGGAAAATATCAATCAGATCCTAGATTGATGCCAGAGTCACAAAGATTCTTTAGGCAAAAATAAAAATATCTGCATAGAAATATTTCAGAACATGGGGGTAAACGCAACTAAATTCAATGTAATAAATGCAAGGTATCCGCTGAAAACTCTTGAAGACCACCATTATGAGAGGCATAATACAAGGACACATGCCATCACATGAGAATTGATGGGAATCCTCTCTCTACTTTTTCATACAATTATATTTAAACTATAATCTATTTTATATAATTACTACTGGCAGATGTCATAATAAATATATTAAACAAGATTCCATTTGTTAGCTAAGCATAGTAGTGCACACATGTACTTCTAGATCCTCAGAAAGCTGAAGTAGGAGAATCACTTGAGCCCACAAGTTTAAAATGAGCCTAGGCAACATAATATTATGAGACTCCCATTAAAAAAAAAAAAATCCATTTCTTTTTTTCATTAAAGGAATCAAAACAGAGAACAGTACCCAAAGAAGTCGAGAATTGTGTACTTTTAATGAGCATTTAAGCACTTTCAAATATATATCAGAGGATATGCAAACGTTAAGAGTACATAAAAATTAGCCACCATTGATTTCTAAGTTCCATACTGCTATTTGTATATTAACTAAATTAGGAAAACTATACCTACAATTAGGTAAATCTTTTGCTAAATTATTCATGCCATTACATAATGAAATGACTAAATAGTTAAAAAGTAATAAATACGGAAGTCTTTAAAAGAATTATAGTCAGTAGATTCATATAGTACTTTAAACAAAAGAGAAAAATAGTATTAAAAATTAAAGATGGGGGGGGCTGGGGTTATGGCTCAGTAGGAGAGCACTTGCCCACCCATGCAAAGCCCTGGGTTCAATCCTCAGCACCACATAAAAATGAATAAATAAATAAAGTTATAAAAAAAATTGAAGATCATTTATCTTAACCTGTAACCTTTTCTATAGAAACACTATCATTACCTAAGTATAAATTCTCTAATAGGAACTGTGTTAGAGATCTTACATATATTATTTCATTTCCTGACAAAAACTCTTTGATGAATATATTATTCTTAGTGTTTAGAAATGAAAACATGAAATAACATGCTATGTTAGTACAAGAAATAAGTGGTAGATCTGGATTTCAATTATAGATTAGACTTCAGAATAATGCACACTCTTAAAACAGCATCTACTGAAGTATATGCTATATAGTATGTTGGTAGATGCTATGCTGAAGGCAAACAGATTATGATAGTTAACTTATGAAAGGTTAAACTATGAAAGAACTCAATGAAGGCTAAAAATATATTCCTTTAACAAAATATTTCTAAATATCTAAATGAATTAAGATAAATGGATTAAAATGAAAACTCACCCATAGCTTATGAGAAAATTGTTGTTTTAGTAGCTATATTTATGGTATTAACTAAGTTTTAAAAAGTGATGTTTGTATAACATGTATTATTAATGATAAAATAAATGATTAAACTAATGCATCTAAAATTATTAATTATAAGTTATTAATGAAAATTTAAATCCATTTCTAAAGGTTTAGGAAAAGTTTTGTCTTATAATAAGATATAATAAGGTATAATAATTGTGGCTAATTCAATCATTGTTGCCTGAGCATATAATCTAAAAATTTCAGTAAAAGATTTTTAACTGCTCTTCTAAAAAACATTTAAATTTTATTTAAATAGTA